AAAAAAGGAAATAATTAAACCTTACCTGAGCATATCCCGCTCCTGTGTGTAGCTGCTCAATCTTCGTGAAGTTACTCTGAAGGCAGTCATTCACCCACATCAACATCTCATGTCGTGACAAATTCTCCGTCGTCGCCGACGTTGCATACACATTTATTACTGCCGCCATCCAATAGGTACTCTGCTAGATTTCGATATCAGATCTGAAATATCAGGCACTACAACTTTTTCGAAATCGACACGAACGATCAAACGTATCTGGTACGAAGTACGGCTGCAGAATCGACAGTTACAAAGAAAACGAAAGCCTCTATGAAAAAAGGTGCCCCTCCCAAAACCAACAAGGTGCGGGAAGTGACGGTTAACGTAATGCTTAGTTTATCATGCGCTCACAGTTGAAACAAAATTTCTGTAGTATTGGTTGTGCGAAAACTACTTTTCGAACGTTACAGTTTAGCCATACGTTTCAAAATAATTCGAAGAACTTGCGAGAAAATCCAAAATCGATATCGGCAGAACAAAAGCCGTTGCAAAATTGATGGCAACCCGTTATCTATTCAACTATCAATAAAAGCGACACCTTCCAGCAAGTTATAGGACCCTAAAATTCAGCTAATCTTTGAAAATAAGAAAAAAGAGTGAAATTACGACAATGTTCTACAAAATGAGCTGGGATTGACAAAAATACCAAGTTCAATATTCTGAAATAATTAAATTTGAAAGGAGAACGTTCAAATCACATCAATTCATGACGAAGTCCAAGAAAATAAAGAAGAAACATCACGAAACATCGCTAGTATGATCGATGAAATGCCTCGTTTGACCTTTACAACCGTCGAAGAAAACCGTACGAGGTGAAAAAGCGCTATTCATAGCCCTTGCATCAGAGGACGAACTGTTTTAAGACACATCGATTATGACACACGACACAACTAAACCACTGCGATACACAATGTTCCCATCAATATGACTAATAGCCACACGAGCCGTTACATCACTCGGACGAGGCAGTGAACTGCCAATCAACCAGTACAGTCCCGAACAACATAAGAACGCCATAACTGCACATATAATGAACCGCAAAGTTCATACTCTATGAATCACACGTTGTGGTGAATAACACTATACACAACCGCCCCGAATACGCGTTGCCGCAAATAAATCACCTACACTCAATTACACCTACCGTAATCGCACCCTACATTAATTTTCAACGTGAAGTCATTGCCTAGTCTCCGTAACATATGCGATATATTCATGAATCGGCCACTCAAAACAACACAACCTAGTTATCGGATGTTCCACCAAGCCGCAGTTCATTTCCAGGCCTCCAAACACGACTACGCGACTTCCTACGCTAAGTTCCTTTTGAGAGATATGCAGTACCCCTCGTAGGTCAGATCACCAGAGTGCACAACTAGTGAAGAATAGGGTCAGGTTTAGTCCAATGAAGGCGCAGAGGACAGGCTTAAGCTTGGGTGGGAGTTTAGACTACGAGCAAATCAAGGGTACTTTGATAAAAGTGACCAAATTGAGGAGGAGATTTGATAAACACCCGCTCCTTCCATAAAAATGGCATATTGCGTCAAAATTTCCTATAAGGAAATATGATGAAGCATTCGGCGTTGATCGATTCCTTCTTGGAATGCGCCATGCGTATCTATTGCCATTTCCAAATCGGTAAGTTAGCATGGAGTGAATACAATAGGGCTATTTCTGAATTACGAGGCTCTGCCAACGTGCAAATTAGTATTTCTATCCTCTCAAACAAGTTTGGTACCATTACTGACCCCGAGAGGGATACGAGGTTTGGCAGGCCTGGGCGGCGTACGACCAAGGATTTGATCCCCGGACCGTGCGCGTGGTAAGCGGCGCCACTTGCCTCTAAACCGCTTATGCCTGAAATTTCAACTGCCCATATATAGGTTCAATCCGTTGTTAATATTCTGCTTCACTTCTCAAAATTTTATACTGAAATTATGAGGGATTATACTTCTTAAAATTCCGAAGCACGAATAATTACAATTCTAATGAAACTTAAAATATCAATTACAATGCACGACAGCAAGAAGTGCAAAAATCAAAAAGGAAAGCTAGAAATTTGTTATCGTGCAGAATTTCATCATCTTCTTCATAACATCATCTGCTTCGCTTTTGGCGCCGCAATGAACAATAATTCGTCGTTTCAAAGCAAAAATGCGGAGTAAAAACCATTGAATTCAACATTGAACTGGATCTAATAAAAAAATCAGAAAAAAATGAGAAAAAATAAATCCATATATAAGAAACGGTTTTTCGTCATTATCCTGTATACAATGGCATTCTTAAGAATCATTGATTGGGAGTTCTAGCTAAGATTGAATTTGTGGCGTCCAAAAAAATCTAATTCAATTCACTGAACCATCGTTAAGTGACTTTGTAGCACACACAGCATTAGGTAGCATTAAGAGCATAAAAAACACACGAAATCGATTTTTTCGAGGATAGCGCAACGTCTGCTACTAGGTGTGCAATTGTGACAGGCTTCCGCGGGTGGCAGAGTATAACTTCCAGGAGGCCAGCTGATTACGCTTCCCACGCTAAATCAATTTGTTCAAGCCCAACTCTTTTGACCCAAAACTAGCGGAGCGCCGTCTACATTCCCTATCTTGGCGTGGCGGGTCTACGGATTTGCAGAAAAGTAGACCGCAGGATGGATGTCGCAAGGCCGTTTCCAGCTGTTTTTTGATGCTTTAATGCTACTTGACCACAGAAGCCATCTTTGCGGAGAGATAAGCCAATGTAAAGATAGTAGTATTGTAGATTTGCTAGTAATGCATGTTGCACAATACGCTTTGCTAGTCACGGGTTTAGGCAAGTTCTAATAGGGTGCATTTATAGACGGTCGCCCGATCGCAACGATCGTAACGATCGCACATCATTGGATCCGTATCAACTGCCCAATCCTTGAACACGTCTGGCGATATACGCATTTAATGCTATGCGATCGTTGCGATCGTTACGACCGCGACGACTGACTATAAATGCGCCCATAGGTCCACAGACACACCCAATCAGACGCGAAAATATTAACTACAAGTATGAAGATAGAAAAGAGCACTCAGCTGTTACAAGGATCTCTCTTACAACGTGTAGATGCGAGAGCACTACAGCTGGTACAACTTATGACTTTGTAACACATGTTCGAGGTCCAGCCAAGTGACGTTGTACAGCAATGCCTGCCAATAACCTACATTTCTCGACCCAGATTCAAAAAGAAGCATTAGAACCTGTTTTTCATGCTGATGAAAACATCCAATGTTACACTTCAAATCATCCATCATTCATGAAGGGCATCGCTGATGCCATTCGCACATTTTCAATTCAACTACTAGTAGAGAACATCAAGACGGTAAAATAGGTTTCCAGAAAAAAAAACCAAGCGATTTTACGCTCATTTTTTTTCTTGAAAATTTTAGACTGAGAGACTAGGCACCACGAAGCTTAAAGACTAAATTCAAATCGTAGAATATATAAAAAAAACTTCCTTTTGTATTCAAATGTCAATCCAAGGCTGAGGTATTTTAAAGAGAAAAACAAAAAAACATCAATGTATCGAGAGTAGTGTGTGCGCGCCTCAACGCGTATCGATGTGCTCTCTCGTATTTTCCCCCTCCTCGCATCTGCTACGTCTCTAATTCATCACTAGTGCCGACCGCACTAAAACTACAGTGTTTTCTATGATGCTTTCTGCTTTTCTCCCAACTCCTCGTCCTTTCCAAACAAAATAACACAGCAGTTCGTCCCCTACCCGTGCCTTTAAACTGACTTCAAAGCAGTGAGGTAGTGTCAAGTCTGCGATCGTCAGCTTTCGCTGATTTTCGCGATTTGCGCGAAACCTGCGACGGAAGCAAAATGTCCCATTTGAACATTTGAAACACTGAATATGAAACAAGTGGAATCATGAGCAGTCGTCATTCAGCCATCACTATCAAGCAGAAGTGGCGGCAGGATTGGAGAACACCTTGCAGTATTGATCGGGCACTTGTGATTTCCGTGACCCGTCGCGTGAATCGCGCAAATCGCGAAAATCAGCGAAACCTGCGACGGACTCGCGGACTCTGTACCAGCGTGGTTTATGGGAGGAAGATTCGTTTGCAAAAGATTGAAAGTTGTTTGAGGCTTGGGAAGCCATGATTGCGCCCCATTTTCCCTTATAAAGGCTCCATTTCATGGGGTTAGCCGGATAACCAGTGATAACAGTGATGGCTAGAGTAGCTTCTGGATCCGATGCTGCGAATTACTCGCCTATGCGTGGATGCTTGCAAGGTTTCGCCATCGGTTTCTCTTACCTTTGTAATATCCAGAGCACAGAGAAAGTTGAAAGCAACGTAAATGCCGCCGCAAAAATCAGTTATGACCATTTTCCCGGAGCCTCTTCTACTTCCACTCAGGAAGAAATGTAGTGCGACTGCTCAGAAAGTGTACTAACTCGTAGAACTTCTCTTTTCCTCAATCCAAAATTATCTTACCCTTAAGGCCGGAATCTGAATTTGGGGAGTATTCTGATGTGAGCTCCTTTATAGTGCAGCAAAATAGCGGCAGGAGTGAAATGATTCGCGCGGCAGAAATGAAAAATCACCAACTGGTAACACATAGCAAGGACATAGCAAATTATGCTAAAGGGTTTTCAAAATCACGAGTGGGCAAAATCATCCATACGAATAAAATGAGAAATATAACTCAACGGTGTTTAGAAAACAGGAGCAGATAAAAAAAGTAGTTGGAGCCTGCAATGTCGGGAAGTAATCAAACGACTAAGGAAGTCTGACGCGAGACGTTGAATGATAAGAAGATTCGAATTTGAAATCTACGCCAGAAAAGGGCACTAATGAATTCACCGGCTTCAACAAAAAGCTTCACTTCATTATTTCCGCATTCCATTTCATTTGAGAACCACAAGTGCGTATTGGACCTCTTGTAAGTGCCGCAATGCTGGTGGTGTGTGGGGTGGCCTATTTTCCTGCAACCCCCTTTAAAACTTTAAAACTAATGAAAGTTTGAAAACTTTACATCTGATGGAAAGGAAGGACTGTGAAACAACTGAATTAACCGCACGTCTGGCATGAGCATGTCACTCGATTCCAATTCGAAATTCATATGATTTGCATTGCATAAGCGATGAGCTGTAAGGCGCAGCAAGTGAAATGCAATACAAAGACTCTTTATCCTGCAAGACGCCCAGGGTTCTTCACCGCTTATGACACCGACGTAACAAAGGCTTCGCTGGAACGAAAGAGCACTCGTGATCGGATAATTGTTAGCGATAGCAGGCATGTCAGTGCCATAAGCCCTGTTCCTACTTTCCAGGAATTAACTTCCAGTTATCCTTAGCAGGAAAATAAGCCCAGTTCGTTGCAAACGACCCATGCATAACTACTTCAATCCACAAATCTGTACGAGGCTATCGTTGCTGTATGATGGGGCTTGCTGATACTGCTCTTTGATGCGTACTCATTCACAGCGAGGCGAGTCGTGGAATCGCGCCTTTTTTCCAATACGAATCGACCCATAAACGACGATTGCAATTGGAATTCGTACGCAATAATTCAAAAAGACGACAACAATTCTTCGCTCGACCGGTAAACATTTTCAAGGTTGAACCTTTTTCTAGTTTTGAACTTGGACTCTTATCAATCAAATTGGACGCGTAAAATCCCGTTGGTCCCAAATGGGTTCTGCGTCTGACAACGGCTACTGTCGTCGCCAAACACTCTAAATTTTCCCTGTGAAGGTTGAAGGACCGAGTTGCCAGGCAAAGAAGGACCAAGATGTCTGTGCAGAAACGTCAACGCTGTTGGATGAGGCATATGAGAGTACGGATTTTCGGCAAACCGGAAATCGAAAACTCTGGGAAATTGCCTTCCCTAAAGCGGCAGCAACTTCTCACTTCAGAACGAGTTGTTAGAAGAAAAACATGTGCTCCTGCTCCCAGCTGGATTTAGGACCGAGTAGATTAAGGGGAATGGAGCTTTGTTGCGAAACAATCACTCTGAGCGCGCCATGCAAGCGGCTTCCACTCGAAATCGTGGGACCAAATGCATGACTTAAAGCAACAATCCCTGATCGAGCTCATGGGCTGGAAGCGCGTCGATGTGGATGTCGAGTTGACTGTAATAAAAAAAGGACGCGCAAGGAAGACGCTCCGATGAAGCCACGCAAAGGAACGCGCCTCGTTCCCTTGAAAATAAGAAGCGGCGGCAGAATTACGACGTAGTGGAGTTTATTCATCAACGGACGTGATTAATGAATCACTATAACCGATTTCCATTGCAGAAAGAAAACTTATAGTTCCATATATTACGTTCCTGAGATAAAAAACGATGTACAGTTGACGAAAGCATTCGAATACCAGCGCAGGCGGGAGCACCAAATTGAATGTATTAATATATTCTGATTAGTGAGATTCAAATTACTCCCTGAGCTTCTAAACTAAAGCTATTCTTACGCAGCCACGCGATTCGAGCGGCGCAGCTTGTGCTCAGGGGGGTTGGGAGAGGCGGGGGGGGGGTGCCAGTCGCTTGCGCGCAACCCTCTGCAGTCTTTCGTGTAGCATTTCGCTGCGCTTAAAACTAGCGTCGATGCAAGTGAAGAAGGAGCCCAGGATCAGCAGTTTCATCTTCCTAAAGGTTTCGCTCTGCACTCCTAGGGCCTCACAATCAGTACTTACAGAAGCACGACTAGACAGAGTTCAGCGCGCGGCGACGCCTCAGGATCAGGGTCATCCCTACGTTGTTACTAGTAACAAACGGGGGTCGTACCTGGTTGAGTTTATAGGAGGGGGGGGGTCGTATCCGCTTCAGTCGCGTGAAAGTACATGTGAGTTTGTGGTGAAAGTGGAGTTTTCACGAGTAGTAGGCTAGGTGAGTTGGGAGCGCATGAGAAATTCGTTTCGCCGTTCAGCGCGCGTATATACCCCCCCGCTCGACGGCATTTTTGGAGGAAAAAGTGGCGGGGTTTGGTGGTTGAGTGGGTCAGTAACGAGAAATGAAATAACAGACAGAGATGTGGGCGGAGGGGTTGATCTGGTTCGAAAAGGGGGGTCGTATTCACGCGTCCACCTTTGGAAGAGGGGGTCGTAAAAATTTTTTAAAAAGTCACGAACGTAGGACCTAAATCCCTGCCGCCGGCCACAGCTCGACGCTGCGGTGGCGAGGAAGAAAAAGCGAAAAAGCGTTGGCAAATGTTAAAGCCTCTTCTAGCGGCTTTCCCATGGTGGTTTTTTGTTCTATGACACTTCCTGGGTTCTTGGCCATCTTTCTTACACCATTTGTATCGAAATATAGATTCTACTGGGATTCTGCGTCAGGCTCATTCGAAGGCTTTAGTTTGAATCGACTGTTGTGATCAATCAGACGTTTCCAGCTGCCCATTTACCTTAGTTTACCTTAGTAACTAGTACTACTACACCAGTAGAGATAATAAAATTACAAATACCATGAAAAATAATTTAGTTGAGAAAGGAAAACGTTGTAATATACGCAGCCGTTACCGGCCAGTTGCTCTCGTAGTAACGGGTGGATAAACGAACAATATTCAACAACGTTAACTAACAGTAGCGTTTCTTTCATTTTCTATACACACATAAACACACATTCACACATGTCCGATCGATTAGTAAACAGAAAAAAAAGAACCGGCAATAATACGGTATAATAATGGAGAAGACAAATAGAATATACATACAACATACACGCGATGTCGTATATCACACTTTACAAACGACGCCAAATTGCATATGACATGAAGTTCGAAGGAGCGGATAGATGGACGGAAGGGTCATTACACGAGTAACTACTAATAAGGGGAAGACTATCGATGTCAATAATTCTAGAAACATTTCTCATTATGGCGGACTCTACAAACGTGTCTCACGCCATTCCGCAAATGCAGACACGCCTCAAACCTTGACATCATCTACCCATACACCTTACTTTGACAACAACTGCTCAACGTTTTGCATTGACAGAAGCACTTTTGGTATGAGTGGGAGAACGTGAGGTGACGGTGGGATGATGCATGTGTGGCAGAAACCCGTCGCCTTGTCAGACATCACACCACTTTGTAGGCAGGGTTTGCCGGCAAAGTGCATTACAAAAAAAACTGATTCGAGCATCGGGGGCTTTTTCCAACGATCTATATACACATCAAACTCTGTGTGGCGGAATCTGGTCGTCAATATGAACGGCGCTCTGCCCACAAAGAAGAATGATGAGCGATTTAGCTAGACGCGAATTCACCGTAAAATGTCTTACAAAGCCGCTTTTCCACGGAGGATTTTCAGCTGATTTCCAGCCTTTCCAGCAGAACGGTTCAACAACACAAACACAACTAACCAGCTGAAAACCCCGTTGAAATGAATCAATGTAAGAAAATTTGAGCCCAGCCGGCTGTTTCCATGGTTAAGGTGGTTAGGCATTAGTTATGGTTAACCAGCCACCTGCTCCACCCCACATTCACAAACTCAACCGCCATAGGATCAATCGGTGTTCTAACAATACAACCACTACTGAGCAGTAATTGATTACTATATCAAATAGAGTTCTCTAAAACAGATATTCAGCTAAAACAACAACCTCAGAGGCAACATATCTATTATATAAAACGGATCGCGTAAACTCTTCAACGAAACAACAGGCATAAATATTGTACTAGAGAAAGCGGTAAACTACATCGCTATAACTCTTGCCGCGCGCGACATTACGCACAAATAAAACGCTCCAAAATCAAAATTTAACACATATATAATAGAACAAATATACTTCTCCACCTGTACACATAATAGTAGCTGACCGATGAGGCTAATTACCTGGCTGAGTTGATTAAATAATATAGACGATTATATGGAGGCGGCGGTAGCACTAACAGGCGACAACTGTCATGTTTTGCGGGCGACAGCGATTCTAATCTTTGTCTCGAATACTTTTCACTCTAACACCTAGACGCTAATAGTACTGTAATAAAACTACTACGGTACAATGTCTCACTGAAGAGCCTGAAACTCGAAGTATGACACGCTACTGTAGATTCTGTGTTTTGGCACTTTTCCATACGGCACTCAATGATGCATAATTCGGCCTAATTTTGGTTTAACTATGACCAGAGCGGGGACTAAAGAAACGTTACTGTCACAGCAACGCAGTAGTAAAACGGGAGCGAAGAGAGAGATGGATGGAGAGGTGCGATAAAGATCAGCGGCGTTGACGGCTAGCAAGGGGGTCAGGCGATGGATGCCTTGGCGACTGAGGTAGCGAGGGGGCCAGCTGGAAATAGTGTCATAGTCGAGGAGCAGGATGGACAAATCCCGACGAAATAGTGCTGGTGGTGGAGAACGAGGATGAGAGCGAACAGGTGGCCAGTCGGCACGACGAACACAGCGACTACCGCCGGCGTTGCACACCGCCATCGTCTCGCCGTCTTCGCGGATTAAGTGACCGCCGACCGGCCGCGAACGACCGGACGGATCGCCACAATAAGTAGTAATGCATCGATAAGGGCGCTCGTCAATGATATTGTCATCGGCCACTAATAACCAATGACATCTCCCTCATATCTTCTCCGACCCAAAACCATTATAAGGGTGCAGGATTGGAAAGGAAAAACTTGCAGGACCAGGAAATCGATTTCAATCCGTATTCATCAGGAAAATGGTATAGAACTCCAAAACGTCACGACAGGTCAGTTTTTTCACCTCGACAGTCACCGATTTCAACCGAGTCACCCAATCCTATTTTGGTGGTTCATTCCCTCACTCATTCACTACCCATATCCCTCAAGGGATAACGAACACAGTATTCCAGAAGAAGACTTTTTTTTACCTCCTCCTACATCAAAGAAGAGACATGAGGATATGGGTTGTCTGGTTAGCTCATACAATGAATGACAAAGCCAGCCTGTCTAGCCAGTTTTGTCATAGTCCTCGTAGAAAACTTTAGTACCAGTTAAAGGCACGCTCGACCTTTTCAGACCCCGGCGCTAAGTAAGACAGACGTTGATGTCGCCCCCTTTGCGACTCGAAAGTGCGCGACAAAAGTGCGATAAGCTCACGCGACCCACAATCCACTCCTTCGTCCACAAGCCCGGCCTTCCGCTGAGGGCTA